TTGTTGTTGTTGAAAATCACGGTTTGCTGAGCGCAAAACCCAAAGTCCCAAAGCAACAAGCGGCCAGCAACCAACTATCACCGTTGGATGTACGATGGATAAAAGATGACGCGTTTCTCGTACCGAGCAAGTTTATTGTTCAGGTATTATTATTATTTCCCCTAGCTCACCCCACGACCCCTTAATCTCCCCCCCCTCCCCCCCATAACCACGACCGCTATTTTTCTCTCTTCATATTCTCATTGTATGGCTTTCACTCATTGCCCATTCATTCAATTCACTCATTCATAATCATCAAGATTCACTGCCATCACTTTTACTTTCGCCGAATTCTCGCATCGCACATTTGCCCCCATTGCGTCCTCTCGTCCATTTCACTCACCTCACCCCCAACAAAATGACATCCACGTGTACCGCTGTTAATTCTGCGTGGAGCGCCTCGGATATACGTCGTTGGGAACCTGGGACAAAGCGACCATTGGGAGGGAATTCCATTGTCGAGCGGCGTGAAGTGTTTTGTCCCACCCCGTGTTGGGAGAACGCATTGTCTGTCGAAGGTGGACAACAGTACGGGTGGACGAGGCAATGAGCGAGGCTCGTGTGAGCGATCACAGCGATTGCAGCGGTAGCAGAGTGACTAGGAGGCAGCTGGCCACCGGTGAGCGAGAAGCCGGAGCGAATCGGCGAGCTCTGGATGATCTTCAATAAACCTGACTGCTTTGCGTGTCTTTTGGTTTCACTCGCTCAATTCTATCTGTGCACGTTTCGTGGAAGTGTTCCGAATTAATTTCAAAGTGCGCAAACGTGCGCCCACTTGTCAGAGCTAACGCCTACAAACGCAGACATTGCCTACAGGTTACGAATCCCGAGTCAGGGCACATCGTGCACCCTTTACACGCAAACATTAGGGCATATGCATATCACCGTATGCAAACGCACATACACATGCACTCACACATACGCACAGCGGCAATAATTTACATCTATAGCTTACGCAGGCTGACGGGGGCCAGGTGCTGTTGGCACAGCGGTAGAAACAGTGGGGGCGAGTTTCTTAAATCTTTCTCACACGTGGACGTCCGCTGAGTAGATTAAATGGGAACGCCAACTCAAGTGTGGGAGAGAGATGAAGCGTGGGTACCCCCACCACTTCCAACGAGATGTCTGGTGACCGAGGAAGAGGAGGCCCCATGCCACCTAGAGGTGCTCTGCAGAGCTCCCTCCCGCGGAGGCGCTTCTACTAGCGGATGGCGTGAGCAAGGCATTGCAGGGCTGCGTCTTTACCTTCACCCTAGCGAGTGCCCGGTCTCGGGACCCAAGAAAAGAACCGCGACTTTTTCGACGTCAGATAAACACGTGGTTGCAGTAGACTTTCGCGACCAATATTATTCATAATCAATGGGGGGGGGGGGGGGTGGTTTGTGTTAGGTCACGTAAATATAAATGTGTCGTTATACCCGCCACCACCCGACACAGCCAATCAGCGAGGGTTTGTCACGGAAACAGAACCTGCCAATGCGTCGCTATTTGAGCACACCCGGTGCGTTGTGGAGTCAACCCACGGAGTTTCACAATTCGAGTTCCGTGACGCTTCGCCTGTAATTACAACCAGTCCCATCAGGCAACAGCCAGAACTGCGCAGAAATCGTCCTCCTGTGCCGGCCTTCAATAGAAGTTGGGGGGGGTAGGGTGGGGGGTAAACGCGATGTCGACACTTGCGAGACGCAGCGGATCGTCGGACATCGCGCGGGCGCGAGCCGAAAACGCCACCGAAAGCCACGCGGTGTGGCCGTGAAATAAATAATTAATACATGTGACTGAGAACCGGGGGGTGTGGTGGGTGGGTAGCGAACGAAGCCGTTGCTGCTGCACAGGGGACGGGAGGAGCCTGCAGAGACCTGAGTTGTGTTGAGCGGAATTCAGCCTCGGGGACAACGCCACATCGACATCGCCTCCATTCGTGCCTGATTGATAGGTTCCTGCAGAGGTGGGGGCGATGGGAGGGGGTGACGGCTCCTGTCACTCGCCAAAGGCTTGCAGAAACATTTCGGGCGGCATTAAAGCACTCGCTCGGCCAGTGACACGCAGGGTGACAGTCCGGGAGGGTTGAGATTAATGCGACGCAAAAAAAAGGGTTTCAAAGCGGCGAACTTATTGGCTTCATCGTCGTCATTGGACGTAATTTGTCCACTAGTGGACGGTCTTCCAAAAACTAGTCTCGTAATACAACTGTGCCGATCTCGCTCGGGTTTATTGCACCATCTCTACGGTGAAACTCCGTCCGGTGGGTTACGTAACGAATACCACCACCCAGTAATGGATCCCATGGATTTGATGGCACGGCTGGGTAACACATTTTCTGGTCAGTCGAGCTGTATATATGCCTGCAACCCATTTTATAGACTTGCAATACACAGATACACGATTAAACGTAGGATTTCTGGAATTCTGATTGATTTAAACAATAGGAATTTTCAATTGCAACCTGAGTTCGATTCGAGGCGACGGCGAACATCAATTGGCGAGAGATATCTGAGTCGGACTTGGCTCACATCCACTTCCACCAACCACCCACAGTGAACAGTGCCGGATTAAGCTAGTGCGGGGCCTGTAGTATATGCTGTTATAAAGGGGCCCTAAATAAATAAAAAACTTAAATATTAAAACACCAATTTTTTTACTTGCATCGTAAAGTATTTTATCCATTTGCTATACAGCCATATAATACGATAAATCGCTAATCTTAAACACGCAGTCGTTCATAAAAGTTGAAGGCAGTATAGTACTATAGTAATAGAGCAAGTGCAGAATAACTGAACCGGAATTGATAGCTTGAAAGCATTTAGCGCGGGGGCCTTGAAAGTACGGGGCTCGTAGCTACTACATGTGTAGCTACTACATGTGTAGCTACACATGTAGTAGCTACTACATGTGTAGCTGCTACACGTGTAGCTGCTACACGTGTAGCTGCTTCACGTGTAGCTGCTACACGTGTAGCTGCTACACGTGTAGCTGCTACACGTGTAGCTACTACACGTGTAGTACGTGTAGCTACTACACGTGTAGCTACTACACGTGTTGTAGCTACTACACGTGTAGCTACTTGTGCTACTCGAATAATGCGGCACTGACGGTAAAGTATGGTCAAACAACTCCCGTGACTGACATGGTGTGCGGCGGGCCTTCATCTAGCAATAAATAAACAAATACCCGAACATTCTATAATTTGTATTATTATTCCACTTGCAACAGATTGTGAAAATGTATGTCTTCATTCAACTTTACTTAAATGCTCAGACAACATTAATATTTTGGGTTTCGTAAGGCGCACAATACACATTAATGCGCGTTAAAGAGCCTTTATAACAACGCAATTTTTCTCAGATTTGCGTGTGCGTCAAAAGCGTCACCTTTCACTGTCTACAAATTGCGGCGCGAGACGCACGTGCGTGTGTACGTTTAACTTCTTTCGCCCCGTACGTCACGAACCGCACTCATAATTATAATCGGAGGTGCGGGGGGGGGGTAAGGAGAACAAAGAGATGAGAAAGATGTGAATTTGGGGAGACCAGCCCAAGTTTTTTGGTTTTGTTTGTTTCATATCGCAAGGGCAGTGACGGTGTTTATGAGCGATGCAAGTTGTGAAATTTGCTGGAAGTGGAGGAACAATATTTAGGAGTTCCGGGAGGGTAACAGATCAATACGCCGCCTGTGAACAGCAGTGATGCCCCTGTGCCTCATCAAATAATACGTTGTCACATGAATGTCATGTTTTACAATAGCCTCGTGAGATCAAGGAAAAATCTAGAATTGTTTTATTTCGCTTGACAAGCAGGCCATGCAACGAAATACTGGAATTTAATTTTATGTTATAGATATATTTATGAATTATATTTCCACTACATCATCATGCCTCCTGTCATACACAGCCCTGTGTCAATCTGCTGCTCCACGAAGACCTCAAATACCGTGTCGGTTATGGTGGTGGGTTTTTTAACCATACTTCACCACGCTGGGCAGTTAGTGCTGGTTGGTGAATAGCGGGGAGGGCGGACCGGTTCTGATATCGCTCATCAATTATGTTAACCGTGACTGGGAAATCCAACTGTGGTTACGGGGTCCAATGCACCGTGCGCTAACCACTGTACCCCGTTCCACCACAAACTATGGTCGAGTGTCAATAAATTACATTCTGCTTATTTTCTCCACGAGTGCCATGTCATCTACAGCCCTTTGTCAAACCACAGCTGGTTGCACGTCTCCCAAACCCGCGTCAGTCATTGAATCTGTTTGGCTATAATTCATGAAGGTCAGTGCGGGTTGGTGAAGATGGAAGATAGGGGCGCATAGGATCTGTTTCATATTTCACTCGCCATTTTAAAACTACTAAACTATAACTGAGCCATTTTGTTTCGTTCATCAGGTAAGGCCCACTGAGTTATACAGCTTTTTTTCAGAAGCGACTTGGCCACAAATGATAGCTCAACGAAGTGGCTTATCGCGTGGAAATGGAGGACCCGGAGAAAAATCCACGCGACCACGGGGAGAACATGCAAACTCCAAACCTACAGGCCTCAGGGTCGGGTTCGGGATCGAACCCACGACCTCCTGTATACCAGGCGAGGGAGTTCACATCTCACCACCGTGGCGCCCCTTATCTTAGCCATGGGTGACAATGAAACTAAAGTTACCGGGATGCATAGCGCAGTACGCTAACCACTACGCCCTAGAACCAGGACTGCAAGAAAACGGGCAGATTTTAAATAGCGCCTGTTGCACGAGTGAAAACTCCTTACCTTTCTCTCCTCCCAACACATACATCACATGACACACACGTCCGCACGGACACACACACACACACCCACACACCTGCCCTGCATGCCAAACCAATGAAACGTTAACCTCACCTCCAGCATTGGCGGTAGGTGGAAGATTCTTATCTAAGACGCGCTAATTAAAAAGTCCGCCTACTTTTAGGTGTGTCCGTCCAATCAGGTGCTCCTCCGTGCGATATGTAACTGCGGCCCACGGCAAGAGCGTCGAGAAGGAGAGAGGAGAGGAGAGAGACGCTCACAACCTCGGCGGGAGGAGGAGGAGGAGAGAGCTGAGAAATTGTCCAAGTCGGATTCGTCCGCATCGCGGGTCTCGCACATGCGCGCTCTTAAACAGTCGTTCAAGGTAAGCGTCAATGCGACCACGTGTTTCATATGCGCATGTGACAAATGCCCCCGTAAGTATTGTGTGGCGGTATTCATTTTAGCTGGTCTTATTGGTCACTTTTGGGATTTGTCTGTTATCCAATCACGCACGTAGCGCAAAAAAAAAATAACGCGAAGGGATACGTAGCATTCGCTTAAATGCTACGAAAAAAATTTGAGGTCGCAGAAATTTGTCAAAAAAATTAATTGTTCCAGCTTTTTCCGAATAAAGGAGAATGAAAATGCCGTTGTTATTTTCCATGCTGTTGTGCCAGTACTTTGTCAAAAAAATGCAAATCGTAAATAAGGAATTACTTTAGATACAATATTGCACGCCTTTGTAATAGAATAGCATTGTCTTAAACACAGACTTACATTTGCTGAACAAATAGAGAGATGTATGTACTTGTGAGACCAACAGCACCCAAAGCACTTCGTATATGCAATTTTAATTACAGACGACAGCCACTCTCTGCCCAGAAGCGTTACGCATGGTGATAAATTCCCCAGCTTAAGCTTACATAGGCACATAAACATATAGTGTATTGTTTAACACTTAAAAAAGTGAAAAATAACTAAATATGGAAGGCTCAATGCACGTGCAAATGTCCATTTCTTTTTTACTTCGACACAAAACAACGCCATAGCATGGCTTTCATGTCCGCTCTGCAAATGTTGTGTTGAAAATGACATTGCAGCAACTTATCTAGAAACGACTGTGAAGGGTTCGATCAAAAACTCAAGAGAATCTGGCCGAGAAAACCCTAACACAAGTTGAGTCGGCAGACAGAAGCTGTTCGCAAGCCCTCGAGCGTGTGTGAGGATCGTGGGTGTGTGAGTGTGTGTAAGGGTAGTGGGTTGGTGTATTAGTGTGTGTGTGTGTGTGAGGGTAGTGGGTGGGTGTGTGGGTGTGTGTGTGTGAGGGTAGTGGGTGGGTGTGTGGGTGTGTGAGTGAGTGTAGTGGGTGGGTGGGTGTATTAGTGTGTGTGTGTGAGGGTAGTGGGTGTGTGAGTGTAGTGGGTTGGTGTATTAGTGTGTGTGTGTGAGGGTAGTGGGTGGGTGTATTAGTGTGTGTGTGTGAGGGTAGTGGGTGGGTGTGTGAGTGAGTGTAGTGGGTGGGTGTATTAGTGTGTGTGTGTGAGGGTAGTGGGTGTGTGAGTGTAGTGGGTGGGTGTGTGAGTGAGTGTAGTGGGTGGGTGTGTGAGTGAGTGTAGTGGGTGGGTGTGTCAGTGAGGGTAGTGGGTGTGTGAGTGTGAGGGTAGTGTGTGTGTGTGAGTGAGTGTAGTGGGTGTGTGAGTGAATGTAGTGGGTGTGTGAGTGTGTGAGGGTAGTGGATTCGGTGTATTAGTGTGAGGGTAGTGGGAGTGTGAGTGTGAGTGTAGTGGGTGTGTGAGTGAGTGTAGTGGGTGGGTGGGTGTGTGAATGAGTGTAGTTGGTGAGTGTGCGGGTGTGTGTAAGTTAGAGGGTGGGTGTCTGGGGCGGATGGTTGCGAGAAAACTTCGTTTGGCAAAATAAGCGTCCTGGGTTTTTTTTTTGCACGGAGAGCCGCGGTCCTTGCGTCCTGCGCCGACTTGCCCTGTGGTACGGTGCTGCACCCAGCCACGGCAGTGGGGGGGGGGGGGGGGGGGTTGCCACGCCACACAAAAGCACTCACAATTTATGCAACACTCAGCAACAATTCAGGAACGCCACGAAAGTTGCGAGTGCAAGAATCAATCGGAGTCGCGCTCTGATTCTTAGTTTTTTTTACTGCGAATCGCTCTGTCGAGTAAGAGTAACGCGGCTCTACTTTCACGGAGGTCTGTTGCGTTGCGATGAAATGAACGTAACTGACCTGGTCTCCTGTCATTAACCAAGGATTTTTTTTCCTCTTGTACCACCTGTGGCTGTCAAAATGTTGGCCGTGTTCAACAGGTATAGTTGTCGTTTGTAAGCCCAAAACCCAACGTAACTTTTCACCAGACTCTTGAATGCGTCATTAAAAGCCAAGAACAGGTGGCTAATTTACTAAATCCAAATGTTTTGGTAGAAACTGTCCACAAAATACGTCTGAATATTTGTATGACTAATTTTATAACCCCAAGGTTATATTTATTTATTTATTTCTTACAAACACAATATTTCAAACTCAAAGCCGTTAATGCGTGCAATTATGGCGGTGCACCCTTTTCCAAGCCTCCAGTTACTCGTCGGAGGGGCATTTGAACGAAAATTTGAAAAGAGAGAGAGTAAAAAAAACCGGTGGAGAGGCGTAACTTTGCACACAAAAAAATCAAACACCTTTCCAAATGGCGACCGTGATGGTTCAAGAGATTGCAATAAATAACCGGCAGGAAAAGTTTGCCCCCCCACCCCGTTTTTTTGCTGTTGCCGTGGTGGTGGTGGTGGCGGTGGCAGCAGCAGCGGCGGCGGCGGCGTAGGGCGGCGTGTGTCGGGTTAGTAACGGCCGTGCCCTGCGGCAGAGTTGAAGCAAAGGTGTGGTCTCGAATTCCGCGAAAAGGGTTGGGCGCACAGCTAGCGAGAGAGGGAGGGAGGGGCATTTGCTCGGCGGCGATGGAGGTGGTGGGACGGGGAGCGGTTCGCAGGTGAAGGGTGTAGATTATTACGCGTCGCAGGCACGAGAGATCAACACCCTTTACCTCCGAGCTATCCGTGTCCTATAGGTGCGTTTCGTAGAATTGTTTACGGCACGTTTCGCCAGACAAATGTTTGACAGCGTTTGCATAGCTCTCTTTTAAGATCAAAGTGAATGTTTACAAGCGGTTATTTGTTTGTTGTATGATCTGCTCCCATAACGCACTGTAACTATCTCTCCATCTGTCTCCCTCTTTGGCAGGTGACTGACGGGATTTTTTTTTTACATTTGGCCGCATGTCAGATGCAACCTCATCCCCTCGCCCGCGTCGACTTTCCATACCATTCTTCTTCTCGCAGCACAACAAATGTGTGTCACATTTTATCCCCTCTCCTGCTAAGGGTGACGATAACATAGACGTTCTACAATACTGTTTAAAAAAAGGATTTGAGTCTGGAAATATGAACGACTTCCAATACCTGTGCCTGCCGAATGTTTTAATGCTTTTGTAAAACACGATAAGATGATGTTGCCAATTTTGGGCAGCAATCCAAGGGTGGTGTGGCGGCCTTATTTTTTTTTTAAGATATGTCTCTCTCTAACTCTCACGAGACTGACTGCGCTCTTAAAGCCAAACTGGTTTTCTCATTCACACTCGCGGGTACTGAAACGGAACAGGTCTGTCTGGAACACTACAGTGGCCCACAAAAAGCCACGGTGGAAAGAAAGAAATGAAATGAAATTAATAAACCCACCGGAGACGCTGAAACCGCTTCTCCTTCTTTGTCATCATCATCATCCTCCTCCTCCTCTTTGCAATTCCCACGATTTCCGACGTCCTTCATTCCACCGGAGTCTGTCAGGCTTAAACGACAGATTTCGGGGGATGAAGTGCATCGGTCGTAGGGTAAAGCGACGGAGATTTCTCAAGAATCAACGCGACCAACAAAAACAACCACGACGCCTCCTCCTCTGCATTCCGATGCGACGCTTTCGGCACTTGTTATCATTGTTGCGGCGGTGTGATGCTAAAACTGCTGTCCGTGTGCGTTCGTCAGTTTGTGGAATCGATCGTTTCAAATAAATCGCGTGAATGTGACGGAGACTGGGCTCTGTGATGAGTTGTGATGTTTATGAACCGTGCAAAACAACACAACAATGGATCCGCGCGGCGTGGAAGATGCCCACGTCCAGCGGAAGATTGCCAAATGGGCTGTACACGTACCTGCTACAAGAGAAGAGAAACACCGCCGTGTGTATAGCCACGGGTGGGGAAATTCAAGGGGGCTTGGGCCCTTTAAGTGGTCCCCTCAATATCCAGATTTGAAGCTTTCGTGACTGCAAGGATTCATACTGTTAGGTTTTTTCGGTAAAGTCACGTAGGTAAAAAAAGAAAATTAAAAGTTTATAAAAGTAATAATGGAAATAAAATAAAATAATAAATCACGATGTTTCGGAGGCAACACAAGTGACGGAGACTTGTGTTGCCTCCGAAACGTCGTGATTTAATATTTTATTTTATTTCCATTATTACTTTTATTAACTTTTAATGTAATTGTTTTACCTACGTGACTTTACCGAAAAAGCCTAACAGTACCCCTCAATATCCTCCATGACCCTACATAAGCCCCATGTTTGCCTGCCCCCCCCCCCATGTTCTAAATACTGTCTTACTCAACACGTACAAACAGCACACTAAGTCACCCACACCGTTGTCAAACTATATTGGAGTGGACACTACAAACAAGCTGTTTGAAGTGCTTGTGTATTTATGAGCGTTCGAAAGCATTTGGCTCGTGTGGATTTTTGTTTGGAATGCGTCTCGTCATTGGGGTTTCATTGTCAGATCGACCGTGGCTACTGCTCACATGGCCGTCTGAGCCCGAGGCCATTTCTTTCTGATTTGTTTTTATTTTACCAGAACTCTGGCGATCTTGGAAGGAGGTGTGCGCAGTAGTGTGTTACGTAAATGTCTCGATTAAAAATGGAGACAATTTAACACCTAATCCAGGCACACAAAATACAATTAGAGAAATATGCTACAAAGTACCGGTATTGACACAATGCTAGTAAATACATTACAAAAAACATGTCCTTATTGGCTGAATTTTATGACCAAAGAGGGTACAATATTTGGTTATCAGGCGTGGAAATTTGCACTTACTAAGCGTAACCTTAACAAGTCTATTATGCAACGGAGGTATGCCAATAATAGTACTCAAATTCCCCACGAGAGGGCACACAAAGGATCGTGTTTGAATACCCTGGCATTTGCGAGCACTTAGTGAGGTGTGTGATGGCGTCTGATGACTCTCTCTGAGCAATGTGTGATCATATACTAAACAAATACACTTTGGCGACCGCCGTGAAACTACACGGGGCTTTACGTTCCGTACCGAACACACGACGGCCAGAATACGTCTCCTTGATGGCAGTGGCTTCTCGAGTTGACGTGCATGTCCGAGTCTCGCAGCCACCAGCAAAGCAATCGGTGAGAAATGAAGCCATGACCATAGCAAATGGAGAGGCCTTTGTCAATCCACAGGATTCAGGTATCTTCCACTCCGTGGGGGTCGAGGGTGTTTATTTGACAATACGTCACGCTGGCCAGAGCCGGTTCTTGAGAGGGAGTCCAGGACCGATTCAGATATCACTCACCACTGGTAATTCACTATGTAACACGATTTTTCTTCCTGGGTAGTGTTATTTTCTCATTGTTTAAGCCTCAAAAGTATAGAAAATGTCTATTGTTCCCCACGAACGTTGTCTTTGTGACCAGGACTTTATGTGAAGGAAAGACACAAATGCACACGTTTATTCATTGGAAATAGGTACATTTCAAAATATCAGTGTCCTGTCTTCTTGGTTCTTTCGGTAAAGTCACGTAGAAGAGAAATAATAAAATAATAAAAATAAAACATTTATTTTATTTTATTATGTTATTTATTATGTTGAATAAAATAATAAAAATAAAACATTTATTTTATTTTATTATGTTGTATTTTTATTATTTCACTATTTCTCTTCTACGTGACTTTACCGAAAGAACCAAGAACATGAATCCCTGCAGTCACGAAAGCTTTCAATCGAAATCACTGTCCTGGTTAGAAAAGCAAAGTTTATGGCGAATAATAGCCACTTTCTGTACTTTTGAGGCATAAACAATTAAAGAATAACATTTACTACCCAGGAACAAAAATCGTGTTACATAGTCTTATTAACTTTGCTTTCGTGTCCTGGTCACAAAAGCAAAGTTTGTGGGAAATAATAGCCATTTTCTGTACTTTTGAGGCATAAGCAATTAGGAAATAACATTCACTACCCAGGGACAAATTTTTTTTTTTTAATACTGTGATATAATTATCGTCGCCATTGGCTACACGGCACTCTCTATACTGTATAACTAATGAGAAAAAAAACTATCTCTGAGACCCCAAATTGGCTCATATAATAAGAAGCATATTCTAAAAATACTGCCAAGATAATGCCCCTTATCCAGAAAAGCCTCATTCCAAGCCTTAAAACTGGGTCGTTTGGCTATTCCAATGTGTGAGTGATTGGCAATTCCAATGAAACTCTACATCTCTTGGCAAAGCAAGAGACACGTGAAGAAGGGCCATTCCCGAAACGTCGCCAATTACATATTGTTCAAGACTACAGTGTTCTTGAATAATGTGTTGAGTTGTTGTTGTCACCACTGCCAACGTGGCATCATATAGTAATAGGTTTTAACCCTTTCAACTGGTACAAAAACTGACACCTTAATACAAGGCATCATGTTTGCAATAACCACAGCACAAGCAGTCAAAATGCAAACAAAAAGAAACAACTCTGATAATGATAATGATATGCACTGTCCTTGAAGTTGATTGGTCCACACCCGAGACAGCTTTTCTTAGAGCCTCGTCTCCATTGGTGTTGGACCAGATGACGCCAAAAGGCGTACAACTCAAAAACAGCGCATTATCATTATCGGAATTGTTTATTTTTGTTTGCATTTTGACTGCTTGTGTTGTGGTTATTGCAAACATGATGCCTTGCATAAATGTGTCAGTTTTTGTACCAGTTAAAATGGTAAAAACCTATTACTATATTTTGCCAGTGGTAAAGGAGGTCTCAGTGTGAACGTTGCATCAGTTTGTTCTCCTTCCCACGCACCTTCGATGAGTACGGTTGGCCACGCACGTGGCGGTAATACGTTCAACGTACATTCAAATCATTTGTCCAGTGAAGTACATCGTTGGCTCGTCCCGTACTGTCCGGAAAGTAAGAGTCACTCAGAACTTGTCCGGTTAAATTTCGATTTAAAGCTTTCGTGACTGCAGGGATTCATCTTCTTGGTTCTTTCGGTAAAGTCACGTAGAAGAGAAATAATAAAATAATAAAAATAATAAATGTTTTATAAAACATAGAACTTGTCTGGTGTCAATAAAGTTATACCAATCTGGTCGCACCCACATCTTTTGCTTTAAAATACGCGGGGTGAAATGCGTCTTATAATCCGAAGAATACAGTCAAATGTTTCTGCCACTTCAGTGGTCTGAATTTCAGACCCTAAAGAGGAGTGAAAGCAAGGAGCAACCGAGCTGGATCATTCTTGATTTGAAGCTTTCGTGACTGCAGGAATCCATACTCTTTGGTTCTTTCGGTTACGTCACGTAGGTAGAAAAATAAAATAAAACAAAAGATAATATATCACGACGTTTCGATCGCAACACATTTTTTTATTTTATTTTATTTTTATACCTACGTGACTTTACCGAAAGAACCAAAGAGTTGGATCATATGCATCACTATAAAGAATGGCATTTTGTCCAAGAACGCTACGGCTTTAAAAATATTTTATGAGTGTGCTGAGTTTGGATGTTTGGCAACTTGACTCCTATTAATCCAGTGGCTTGTGGAAGGAAACTGCAGCCCCTGAAGAAGATCCACGCCCAGGAGGAGAGTAAACACTCCTAGCTCCGAACTTATGGATTCCAGTATCAATCGCTGTAATGCCACAGCGTGGCCTGCCTCGAACTACCAACATAATGTTATCAAGTCCAATCTGAAGCCATCCACGTTCCCGCATTGAAAACAGCGCCGTCTTGTGGCCACATGCGCCTATTTCATGCGCCCGTTGTGGTCACTTTTTATGGAAATGTTTGTAATTCTACAACAACAACAAAAACACGTTGTACTGCATGTGAAGGGATGAACTAACACAATTGAGCAGAGCAATGGCCATAGGCAGCAGCGGACATGCCCTTACAATCGCTACACGTCCCCAAGACAACCGATAACACTGTATACACCGCAGTGAACGGTGAACTAACACGCAGAAGAACCCATGGGGGAGTGACAACATTGTTTGCTTAAGATATCATACGAAGTACCGCAGTGCATTTTACGAGGTTAACAAAGGTGACCCTTCAGCCTCCCATCTTAAATTACGAGAAAATGTACTACTGCTGTGTAAGGCGCTAGTTTGGTTGGACCCAGAAACGTTTTGTTTTGAATTGTGGGCCCAACGTTGGTCCCACGTTTTATGTTCACTGGGGAGGCAAAACGTCGTGTTGTATTAAAAAAAACTAATTATTTTAAAGCTACTCTACTTTTCACCGTTTAATATTCAACTTGCAAATGTACATGACGCGTAACTTCCACCGTAAATGATCTTAAATTACACCCGTGTCCCTTTGCATAACAAAGACTTTGATAAATCCATGCTGCTATGGTATATGCACTCTGAGATTCTCCCATTGACGCCCCAGACAGCTTTCAACATTATTATGTCGACTTAACGAATTGCATCACGTCACCACGCCTCTTCCAAGGCGTCTGGCCTGCATGGAAGAGAGGGCCCAATAGCAACTAGCTCGATCGGCCCTCTAGAGCTCCTTACGAGTGGAGGCCCTTCTGCCAGCAGTGGAGTGAGCAAGAAAATTCCAGTACTGCTAGATTTGAAGCTTTCGTGACTGCAAGGATTCATATTCTTAGGTTTTTTCGGTAAAGTCACGTAGGTAAAAAATTGGCTCCTCCCATCATCAACCAGTATATATACAAATACTGTTTCTTGGAATTTCTCTCACTTGATACAGCTATCGTGCTGTGACGGTTCCACCTGAAGACGGAAGCTTGTGTTGCCTCCGAAACGTCGTGATTTTTATTTTATTTTACTTTTATTAATTTTAAATTTTTACCTACGTGACTTTACCGAAACAAACCTAAGAATAAAAAGTCCAGTACGTCACACACGCTCATGCGGCGCTTGCTCCAAACCGATCATCTGCAAACTCCAGACGTAGGTACATGTATGTTGAACTTGTTTCGGAACGCACGCAGTTTGTTGCCCCTCCCCTCGCAGCTCCGATGAGCCGTGCTCATCGGAGCTGCGAGGGGAGGGGCAACAAACCGAACAGTAATACGGAGTTCCAAAGAAAGGAATTCTCACAACAGTACCGTGTACCGCTTTCCCAGTGCCGGATTAAGCTAGTGCGGGGCCTGTAGCATATGTTAGAAAGGGGCACCTAAATAAAATAAATAAAACAACACGTAAATATTAAAACACACATTTTTTTACTTGCATAGTAAAGTAATTTATTTTTTCATTTGCTATACAGCCAGATAATACGACAAATCGATAACTTTAAACGCCCAGTCGTTCCTAAAAGTTGAAGGCGGTATAGTACTATAGTGATAGAGCAAGTGCAGAATCACTGAACCGAAATTGATAGCCTGAAAGCATTTAGCGCGGGGCCCTGCAAAGTGCGGCGGCCGTAGCTACTACATATGTAGTAGCTACTACATATGTAGTAGCTACTACATATGTAGTAGCTACTACATATGTATACTACATATGTAGCTACTACACGTGTAGTAGCTACTTGTGCTACTGGGATAATCCGGCACTGCTGCTGCCAGACTCAGACCCCCCTCAAATATGACGTCACAAAGCTCTGCCCCCCTCCCCCCGCCAAAACCATATTTCCATTTTGAAAATAGAACATGCCTCAAATCGCTTTAAACTATTGTCATTGTAGTGCGTATTTAATGTAGCGCTGCACTCTGATGTTGTAGGAGAAAACATTTGTTAAAAAGTCTATTTTATTAAGTAGAACGTGTTGCCTATATTTATTTAAAGTTGCGCATTTTGATGTGACGTCACATTTCTCCCCCCCCCCCCTCGTCACACATTGTCACTAATGTGTGACCCCCCCAACCCCTCCTAGGTGCGTGACGTCATTTATGGTCGGCCCCCAATCCAATAGCGGATACATTTCAAGATCACACTCGCCGACTTCAAAGTTGTTCCGTGGACTCGTCTCCCCTCTCATCTCGCTCTACTCCCTGCCACGCAAGCAAGGCTTTTCACATCGAAGGTTCGCGGTCAACCTTCGCTCGGCGGGAGGTCGCTCCTTCTCCCGTGCTGCGCCAAAGGTCTAAAACGTCCTTTCCGCGCCCATCCGTTCTATCGACCCCCCCCCCACTGCCCCTGTTCAAGTTCCGGCTCAATGCCTTCCTTTGCCTCCTTGATGTCTATACAACTGCACGAGGGTGCTTACTTAAGGTCGTGTCGACCTAGGGGAAGGTCTACGGTCAGTTCAGTTAATCACCACTGATGCTAAAAATGGCTGAGAAAAAAAAACTCGGGCAGCCGAATTTGTAGTGCAGTGCACTAACCACTACACCACCGCTCGCCGCTGTGTTCTTATACTGTGTCGTAAGTGCGACTTGTGAATAGTGGCTCAGTGGTTGAGCGAGCGGCTCGCAATTGAAAGGATGCGAGTTCAAATCCAGGCTGGGGATCGAGTCAGCCCATCATCCCGCCGGGGTCGATACAATTAGTACCACTTGGTTGGGAACTCAACATGAGCTGTCCTATGGATATACTTGCCACTAGCCATAGGAACGATGAATTCCTACCACCGGACCAGGGCTGTATCCAGCGGATGAGCACTGATTCAATGCTTATCTGAGAAATAATTCACGTCGGATGCATGTTGAACTTCTTTCGCACCGCACCTCGCCAACTGCGCTATGTGTATACTGTGTGGAGTGGTTCGCGAGCCGCATTACCAACCCAGTGACGATTATCTGAACCGGTCCTGTGCCTCTCCTAGGTCGACTCAGCCTCAAATAAATACCCGGTGCGATGTGTAAACATCGCCACTCGGGAGACAAAGGCGGCCGGGCGTGGTGCTGGCCACCCCACCCGCTCGCTAACAGCACTATGCCCCAACAGTTTGTTAAGGCTTTACCGAGGATCTTTATATACAAAGACACACACACATTCGATCTTCTTGGTTCTTTCGGTAAAGTCGCGTAGAAGGGAAGTAATAAAATAATAAAAATAAAACATATTTTTTAATTATTTTATTACTTCCCTTCTACGTGACTTTACCGAAAGAACCAAGAAGATGAATCCCTGCAGTCACGAAAGCTTTAAATCGAAACACATTCGATCGTTACGCAAACACTTATTTAAAACCCCGAGGCAAAATGTGCAGTAGGTCAGACAACAGACATGGCGCGCGCATCATCGCCCGTCACGCCCAGAGATGCATCCCCCAACCAGTCACGGCGTCATCCGCTGATGATAATCTGGCGCGCAACGCGCTTAGTCGTCAAGGAATATGTCACTTTGGGGCCGTCCATAAATGACGTCACGCGATTTTGGACGATTTTTGCCCCCCCTCCCACTTCGTCACACGACGTCACAAAAAGTCAGGTCCCCACCTCAAATATGACGTCACAAAGCTCAGCCCCCTCCCCCAAAAAAAATAAATCATGCTTCAAATCGCTTTAAACTATTGTCATTGTAGTGTGTATTTAATGTGGCGCTGCACTCTGATGTTGTAGGAGTGTTGTTATAACAATTAGTGTTGTTCTAACAATTCTATATTTATTTAAAGTTGCGCATTTTGATGTGACGTCACATTTCTCACCCCCCCCCCCCCTCGTCACACATCGTCACAAATGTCCGACCCCCCCCCCCCAGGTGCGTGACGTCATTTATGGACGGCCCCATAGCGCACTGCGCTATGAACCCAACCACCTGAGTTCAACTCTCGGCCACAGCGAACGTCAATGGCGAGTGATAATTTGAACCAGTCCTGGTCTCAAGCCCCCCTTCACCAAACGGTACTGACCAGCGTGGTGAAGTATGGTCAAATAACCCCCGTGACTGACGCGGCGTGGAAGAGAGGCCTTCTTCAATCCGATAACGGATTGGCAGCAGCACTGTGAGCTGGATCGTGATGCTCACTTGCAACTGTGCATATCTGACCCGGTTATAATTAAAATACATCAATGACCTGGCAAGCACTACTACTAGTGACTGGCAGCAGGTTTTCGGCAAAATTCAGATCGGTCACAGTGTCTGACTCCACCAGAAGTGGGTTAATTGTTTCGCTGGTGACGATGAGCGTATCTTGTTGTTCAAAGCGCGTAGCGCGAGAACAATGGAGAAGTTTAAGCTGACCCTGCCCCATGAACACTCTAAAACTAAACTGCAGACTACTCTTTTTTTATTTTACCAATTAAAGCTCGTTTTCAGAAGTGATCTGGCCACAAATCATAGCTCAACGAAGTGGCTTATCACGTGGAAATGTATAGCAGCAGCCAAATATTCTCGACGCATGATTCAAAATGTGGAGGAAAAAGACCGGAGGACCCGGAGAAAAATCCACGGGACCAAGGGGGGAACATGCAAGCCTCAATTGAGTACCTGGCGAGATGCCTAAACATCGCCACCGTTGTTGGCCATCCCACTCCTTTTTGTTGTGCCGTGTCGACTTTAATAGGTGCTACTCGCGAGCGACACTTGCCCTAAACGTCTGTCAAGGCTATACGGGGCAGCTTTATCATTGTAACGTGTGGGATTACAGTAGGATACGAGGCCGTTCACGCTCTGTGTCATCCGCGCCTTGTCTCGGCAGGTCCCGGAAGCCAAGCAGGGCTAAGCCTGGCTGATATTTATATGGGTGACCACCACTACCACCACTACCACCACGGGCTTCAGAGACCTTTGCAGGCGCGGGGTCGTGAGGTGTGGCCAGGAGATGGCAGTGCTGGGTGTCACCTCGCACGCGTGTTGGGTTCACTCCGGGCACTCTCTCCGCGTTTCTTCCACGTGGTGAAGCCAAACAACTCGTTCATAAAACAAATCCCAGGGGGTCGGCAATCTGCGGTATCCTGAGCCGCATGGGGCTCTTTAAGGACTGATTCGTGACGTTATTTATTAAGGGACTCATCGTCTCGTATTCACCACGTGCTTTGCACGACTCTTGAAATATTGAAGGGTTTTTTTTTTCTTCCGAATTCAAAAAAATAAAATGGCTCTTCTCCCTTATTTTGGTTGCCTACTCTTGAACTCGCCAAACATAAAAACGCAGGACCCTCCTGAAATCAATAAAAACCTTGAAATTCAGCGATTATTTCCAGGATAGTTCATTTCCATTTAACCTCGCAGCGGGGTGGAACGGTGGCGCAGTGGTTAGAGCACTGCGCTCTGAACGCAGCGACCTAAATTCGATTCCAGGCCACGGCTTCTATCAGTGGCGAGTGATATCTGAACCGGTCCTACCCCGGTCCCATTCCCAACGCGCTCTAACCAGCGTGGTGAAGTATGATAAAGTAACTCCCATGATCTATAATTCGTGGGGGGGTGGGGGGGGGAAGGGGGGGCCTTCATCCAGCAGTGGCATGACGAAAGAGCTATACGTACATTAGTAGACGCATCGTACACGTGGATGTCTGGCAGCAGCGGGTGTCTGGGATGCTGCACGTGTGATGCGCGTTGCTGATGCGTGCTCCTGTGATGGGGGAGCGGTAGTCTAGTGGTCAACGTGGCACACGACGAGCCCAGCCACCCGAGTTAGACTCCCGCTCACGGCAGAGGTCGCAACCGGGTACCCGATACCCGTACCCTACCCGATACCCGGCTACCCGTTTGCGACCCTGGTGCGGTCGGGTACGGGTAGGCCGTGAGTCACTGGTGAGTAACCGTTTGTCATTCATTTCGGGTAGGGTACGGGTATCGGGTAGGGAACGGGTACCCGTACCCGGCCGGTATGGGTACCCATTTGCGACCCCGGGTATGGGTAAGGAATCAAACCGCGTTTGCGACCTCTGGCTCACAGTCAACATCTGTCGTGAAAATCTGAAGCCGTCCGAACCTACCCTGGGCCTCCCCTAAATCGATTGATCATTAAACGCACGAGTACCTTGGTCCGGTCAAAACATCAACCACTGCGGGCGTGGTGCTAGCTAGCCACAAGACTCCGTGATGCGCCGTGCTGGCCTTCATAAGTACTCGCTGACAGCATTGGCCCAACCAGCTTACGTAGGCTACCCGTGGGGGATATCTGCGTGTCCTAATTCGTGTGTCCTATATTTACACACAGCCATAGCCTACACAGGGCGGAGCTGACGATAGCTGGAGAGGGTGGGGGGGGTGAGGTGGTGTGTGAGGTGTAAGGGCTGGAGATGGGAGGTGGAGAGAGAGAGAGAGTGAGTGAGGTGATGGGTGAGGTGTAGCGGTTGCAGAGGGAGCTGCTTAGCGATAGGTGAAGTGGAAAGGGTTTTAGAGGGAGGTGATACAGAGAGAGATGAGGAGGTGGATGAGGTGTAAGGGCTGGAGAGGGAGGTGGAGAGATATGAGGTGGTGGTGGTGATGGGTGATGCGTAAGGACTGGGAGATGGGGGTGGAGAGAATGTAGAGGAGGAGGAGGAGGTGGTGGTGGTGGGTGAGGAGGTGTGTATGGGTCGTCATCTGGGAGACGTCTCTCTCATTGCACGCCTCTGTCCCCATGGCAGCAGGGCTGCACGTTCCTCTCTCCGCTTTGAAACGGCCTCGTCCCAGTACTGACGTCAGCACGGAGCCCTCGCGTCTTCTCACACCCCCCTCTCACCACCCACTCTCTCTCTTCCTCTCCTCCTCTCTCTCTCTGCCATCTCCCACGCTTTGCACATGATGTGGATGAGATGTCCATTGCTGGCGGGCTCTCTCGCAATGGCAGACTGAGGCTGCAGACAGACGCGTATCGTCGTCGTCTTTGTTCTTACTGCTGCTGCTGCTATTGCAGATAATCTCCGCGCGTATCCAGCCATTCATCCAGCCAGCCAGACAGACGGCAGCAGCAGCAGCAGCGGCGGCTCCTCATCGGTTCGAGAGAGAAAAAGAAAAACCGCAGGGCTCCCATTCATTGAGCCGGAACTCAAGACAAGCCGGCCTCCATCCATCGAATATCGATGTCGGTCGGCCCTTTCCAGCTGGAGCGGCTTCCTTGAGACTCGGTGTCGATATTCGGAGCCGCGCGCGCGTCCCCATTCATATCGGCGGCGTTGTCTTCCTTCATTGTTGCGCAAGGCAGCGGGGTTTGCAGCAGTCGACGTCCGCGCGGGGTTACTGGGAGCGAGAAGCAGAGACAGCGCAGGCAAATGCACGGAGGCACGCGCGAACACACACGGAGACGATCTTGCACGCACACGGAGACGATCTTACACACACACGCAGACATACAGGCTGTTGGGGCAAGTGCTGTTAGCGAGACTCACACACACTGCCTTCTCACTAGCACACACATTCACACGCGCATACATAGATAAACACACTCACTCCCACAATCACACGCAACACCCATTCTCTCACACCCTATCACACCCGCTCACACACCCACACTCACATCCTCTCACACACACTCACACACCCACACTCCCACACACACACTGACCCTCTCACTCGCTCACTCTAACCCTCTCACCCACCCACACTCACCCACTCACACTCACCCTCTCACCCACCCACACTCACCCACTCACACACTCACCCTCTCACCCACCCACTCACTCAGACACACACTCACCCTCTCACCCACCCACACTCACCCACTCACACACTCACTCTCTCACCCACCCACTCACACACACACTCACCCTCTTACCCACCCACACTCACCCTCTCACCCATCCACACTCACCCACCAACACTCACCCTCTCACCCACCTACACTCACACACTCACCCTCTCACCCACCCACACTCACCTACTCACACACTCCCTCTCTCACCCACCCACTCACACACACACTCACCCACTCACACACTCACCCTCTCACCCACCCACTCACTCAGACACACACTCACCCTCTCACCCACCCACACTCACCCACTCACACACTCACTCTCTCACCCACCCACTCACACACACACTCACCCTCTTACCCACCCACACTCACCCTCTCACCCATCCACACTCACCCACCAACACTCACCCTCTCACCCACCTACACTCACACACTCACCCTCTCACCCACCCACACTCACCTACTCACACACTCCCTCTCTCACCCACCCACTCACACACACACTCACCCACTCACACACTCCCCTCTCACCCACCCACATTCACACACTCACCCTCACCCACCCACTCACTCATACTCACCCACCCACACTCACCCACTCACCCTCTCACCCACCCACACTCACACACTCACCCTCTCACACACTCACCCTCTCACCCACCCACACTCACACACTCACCCTCTCACCCACCCACACTCACCCACCCACACTCACCCTCTCACCCACCCACTCACCCTCTCACCCACCCACCCACTCACACGCGCACAGCCACCCACTCTCACCCACAACGCGCGCGCACGCTCCCCGGACGCAGCAGCAGCAGCAGCCGCCGCAGCCTCGCGGACGCTTGGATGGTGCAGAGGGCGGAGGAGGCCGCGGCGATGAGTGTCGAAGTCCCCGCGGGGCTCACGGAGCTCCTCCAAGCCTTCACCGTGGAGGTGCTTCGCAGCCGGCCCGCGGATCTGCTCGACTTCGCGGCGGCGTACTTCGCCGAGATGCGCCAACGGGCCAGGGAGAGATGCGGGGCTCCCTCGCAGCAGCTGGCCGACGGATTCGAGGATGCACACGGCCGAGGGGTCAACTTTTCCGAGGAGAACGCGGCCGGACACTCGTCCAACAGCGACAACAACGGCGACGACGATCGGGACGATGACGACGACGACGACGAATCCGATTTCGAAGGTGCGGTGATTGATTGAGTGATTGATTGGTCGCGAGATGCCGGTTGAATGATTTGTGTTTTTTTTTTTAATCACTAACCGGGAGGTCCATAAATCCATTCATTTATTCGCCCATTCATTCATTAATTTATTTGATTCATCCGATATGCACGCAGAACTCGTTTCAGAACGTGTGTCTTTGTCGATTCGTGCAAGATCGTCATGATAACAAGAACGATGATGTTTAATATCAGCAACTGTCGTCATCATCGTTATCATCATCACCACCATCACTGTGGCCATTATCATAGATTTTGTTCATTACCATCAGAATCACCGCCATCATCATCATCACTGTCGTCCGAGTGGTCTTTACCATCGTCATTGTAGTCATCTTCATCATCATCACCATCATCATTACGGTAATTTACAACGACAAAAAGCATCACAACCACGATCATCAGCAGCAGCATTCGCACAAGGGGCATGAATGTTATTATGCCAGTGACGTACATCGTTTGCTGGGGGTGTTGATGCATTTTTGCTGGTGGAAGACTAATATTCTCCAGCGTACGGGATGCCCAGGTGTAAACAGCACACATGCTTCATTAACGTTGCACGCACTATATTTGAATTTGTGCTCATTATTCGGTAAACGTATTCCTCAAATTACGTAATGTTCCGTTTGTTGCGCACATACAAAGACAAAGATGCCCGTATAGGCTTTACTTGTGGGGCAAGTGCTGTGAGCGTGGAGCACCTACGAAGGCCGGCACGGCACTCGAGGGCACTCGCCCGGCCGCCTTTGTCTCCCAAACAGCGAATGCGTAAAGCACTGCCTCCAGTTAATCATTTGAGGCTGAGTATATCTAGGGGAAGCCCAGGACTGGTTCAGAAAATCGTAAGCGGTGTTGGCTGTGAGCATCAATCGAACTCCGGTCGCCGGCTTCGTAGCGCAGCGCTCCCAACTGCTGCCCCACCGCTCCAAACAAAGAACAGTATACACAGTATAGCTCTAGCGGACTGTTGGGGCAAGTGCTGTTTGCGAGCACCTGTAAAGGTCGGCACGGCACACGAGGGGATGGGTGGCCAGCAACCACACCCGGCCGCCTTTGTCTCCCCAGTGGCGACGTAGACTACACACCGCACCAGGTACTCGTTTGAGGATGAGTCGACGCAAGTGGAGGCCCAAGACCGGTTCAGATAATTGTCACTGGTGTTGGCTCCCCACTCCCATCCCACACACGTTTGATTCCAGACACATCGCATACGATGTGGCATTCGTTTTATTGTCAGTATAGTCCAACACACACGCACACAATCAAAAATCGGAATATTGTGAAATGTTTCAAAGCGGAATTCTTCCGATGCAGCCATTCCACGTGTTCGAGTGAATGTGGAGGGGAAGGGAGACAAATAACGAACACTAATATATCTGCGGGTATGACATTTACTTTCCAGCCTTTTCCTAAGACCATAATTCATTTCATCACAGCTGCATTATTAATATTTTTATTTGGTTCAGTACGTGTGTGTGCGTATATACACACACACACTTTATTTCTCTATTGTTTCGTCTTGATTCCGTTGGGAGTCAGGATAACCAATGAGACCGCTTGCATTCGATCATTTCAGCAGGATGCATATATAAAAGCCACTGCAATTGTTCTGCTGTAGCTACACAAAGCTGAAGAGGACACAATAGCCCTAGTGCACTCATAGCTGAGTGTAGGTATATTACCAGAATCAGAATATTTATACTGGAGGAAGCCGATAAGCTAGAAAGCTTCCTTTGTCAGATGTCCAGTAGTACGAATGTACGTACAGCACAAATCTCCAACGTTAAGGGACATCATTGCTGCTTTAAAATAATCATGCGTCGTGGGGCATTGTGGGTAAATATATAACTAAATACAATTTGCTTGTTCGCGTCACTGTTGGTGAAAGATACTCCACTAGACGGAAGCTCTGGAGAGCTCCTCTTCGGTGGGGATGGGAGGGGGGTGTTTGGTCTTCTCTTCCACGTTGGCCAGTTGTTTTGGACATGGGAGTAGGCCCTATACGTTACTCCACCACATCCAACCTGCCGATCGACGAACAGGGTTGTCACCAACTTGTACGGCCGGGGTGGACAGAGGCGGGTCCTCTAAGGAACGTGTACTGTAGTTGAAACTGCCGCGCCTGGAGAACAAACCGGCGAACGCCCCGTTACGCCGTGGCCGCATCTCTGTTCGGCTGTCCACGTGAAATGAGACAAGTGGATACACTTGTTGAGTTTATTAGTCACAATACTGCACAACATCGCATGTGCTTTTACGCTTGATTGATTTTAGCTTTCACTGGGGCCCTGTGTGGTTGACGGGAAACATCTGTGAACCCTGCAGCATTTTTTGACAAGCGTGACTGCTGATCAGATCCTGAGGGTAAAAAAACTGGTAAAGAGCCTGCTTGTGTAACCAACCACACGCTGCTCAATAATATTGGCCTGACAATTCTATTGACTGAGTAACTTAAGACAAAAAACCCAGTAGAGTATTGCCTTTTTTTACGCGGAGAGATGCACGGAATGATAATTATTTATTACACGTCTAGAATAAACAATTCGAGACCCAAATATCACACCTCCTCCCAGCTTTGGTATTCCTCGAAGACACTGGCGGTGTGTAACAATCAACCGCATCAGAATATCAAACGGTCGAGGTGCGGATCTCCTTCGTCCATGGAACATTACAGACGAAGCCACGGGAGTGCGACTGTGGCCATTCAACTCACGCATATAACCAGTGAAGTTTGTGCCCCTTCAACGGACGTGTAATAGCAAAACGACACAAACACTCTCCAGAAACCCTCTCGTGGCTAGCAGACATCAACGTTGGCATTTCGCTCCTGAACATGTTGCTGCCACCATACGCATGAATTACATTTATGACGATAGGGTGGAGTGGTGGCACAGTGGTTTGTGCACTGAACTATGAAGCTGCTGACCTGAATTGTATTCCCGGTCACTGCCAGCATCGGTGGAAATGATTCCTCAACCAGTGACGAGCGCCTCCGTGATCAACGCGCATTGACCAGCGTGGCGAAGTATGGTTTTACACAAAGTCTACATATTCAGAGCTGGAGGGGGGGGGGAGCTGTAAGATTTCTGCAGCTACCTACGTATTGCATACTTGACTCTGCTGATGATATCCAGAAGGTCGAATCCGGTCCAAAGTGTAATTGCTTGTTTAAACAAACGCTGCCGGATAATATTGGTCTGGAAAGGCAGTGGGCTGATGGACTTTAACATCGTGCAGACACAGAAGGGAGCTCTGTTTAATACCTGCGTGTTATTTCTTCTTGCGCGGAATGTGTGGAAAGCACTCACAAAGCCTACACACACACACGTAGAAAAGTAGCATTGTGCCACGGAGTGAGGTGGCAGTAAATGAATATAGGCCAGAATCCAAACAGGTATTCCTTGTCTTCTTGGTTCTTTCGGTAAAGTCACGTAGAAGGGAAATAATAAAATAATAAAAATAAAACATAATAAAATAATTCTCGCGACGTTTCGGCCACAACGCAAGCAGCCGTCCTCAGGTGAAGAACAGGTCTGTCGGGAAGACAGCGTCCCGACAAAACTGTTCTTCACCTGAGGACGGCTGCTTGCGTTGTGGCCGAAACATTGTGAGAATAATTTTATTATGTTTAATTTTAATTATTTTATTATTTCTATTCTACGTGACTTTACCGAAAGAACTAAGAAGATGAATCCCTGCAGTCACGAAAGCTTTAAATCGAGGTATTCATTCTAGATTTGAAGCTTTAGTGACTGCAAGGATTCATATTCTTAGGTTTTTTCGGTAAAGTCACGTGACTTTACCGAAAAAACCTAAGAATATCGAGGTATTCCTTGTGTCCTGGAGGCAGGATGTGACCCATAAAACACTGCACACGGTGCGCGTTTCCACCGAGCGTCTTGTTGATCCATGCACGATGCGCAATGATGTTTGTACGTGCGCCGGCGAAAGTGTCGAGTGTTTACGCAACGGCATGTCACCGGTGCAAAAACGAAATTCATGGTAGATTTTTTCTTCTTCTGTAATTTCGTTTTTCGCGTCGTCGCTGGCTGTACAAATCCGTTTCGCGTGCTCTTCCGTTGAATTCGGCACGTGAGTGGCGTGCCTCCAGTACAGCCGCACGACAGGCAAACGATGGCCATTCTGCCGTGTGTGCTGAATGCCATCTGTTCATTCTGATTTCGTTTTCCAAGAGGTGGGAGTTGTCCTTTGAGTACAGTTTCCAATCATGTCACGTCCTCATCCCAGATGAGGGAAAACCCCCGCTCCACCTCTCTCGAGCTCTCTGCGCCTTAGATTTTATCTGCACACTGTCTCCTGTTCGACCGCATCTGGCAGACTCACACAATAAGTGTAGTTTCTGGGCATCCATGTGAAAACGGGTCGGGTAAAGGAGGGAGGCTTTGAGCTACCTGGAGGTGGTACGTCTAAAATGATATCAGACATTTTCAGAGTGGGTAATGGCTTATCGAATTGATAATCATAGTTGGGTTTGATGTGGTTCCCATCTCCACTAGAGGGGAAAATATATCGGGATTTTTTACCTAAACTTCAACAAGGGCATGGAGTCGTTCAGACAAGAGTGCAGCACAGAAGAAGAAGCGACAGCCCATTGAGCAAAGGTTGACTGGGAGCTTCAATATAAAGCCTTGGTTGTATGGAAGAGAGAAGAGTGAGGTGAGAGATGGATGCAGGGTGCGAGACCATGGACGATATTAAAGTTAGTAAGTGTGATTTTGACCTTTATCCAGATTTCTATTGAACAGCCAAGTGAACGGATTGGAGTATCGGCCTGAGAGAGCCTCATTTATGCGTGTATGTGAAAAATCTGGCAGTGCGATTTTGTATTGTCTAAAGCAGTGGTTGGCCAACCCGTAACAGACCAAGACTCTTAAAGTACCCGTGAGTTCTGCAAAGAGCCAAATATATGTGCGTGTATAAATATTGACAGTTTTCGGCACAG